AAAAAAAAGAAATAATTTCAAACTTAGGTAAAAGTTGAAAGAATAGTACAAAGAACGCCATATACCCTTTACACGGATTCAACAGTTGTTAACATTTACCTTTACTTTATCATTCCCCACCTCTCTCTATATAAATATTTGTCCTCTGAAACATTTGAGAGTAAGTGGCAGCCATCACACATACCCCTTTACCTCAAAACACTTCAGTAATATTTCAGTGTGTATTTCCTAAGAACAGGAACATTCTATTCTATAATCACAGTACAGTTATCAAAATCAGGAAATTTTAAATTGATAAATTGCTGTTATCTAGCCTGCGGTCAGTATTCAAATGCAACTGAATTGCTGCAATTTTGAAAAGGCTCTTCCTAATTAGTATTGAAATCAAAGTTTTGACATCTTGGCATCATGCTAAATATTTTTGGAGCATTACAATTATTAAGTGGTTGTTTTCGGATGTGGATATGAATTTTTTGCCTTTCCATTTTTCAAAATGGTAGATTATATCACTCAAGTTTAAGTATTGTTTTTGGCTCATACTAGTTTTATACTGGACCTGTAATTCTATGTATTTTAAATTCCCTACTAATACATTAAGCTAAATTACTTGGAGAATGTGCAGATAATATGGCCTTTGTTCACTGTTTCCTTAAATACATGTTTATTTACGAAAATCTCATATGATTCTTTATTAAAGTCTTAAGGATTTGGTAGACATCAATCATGTCTTGCTGGATGAATAAGTCATTACCTAGTAGTTTAGTATAATTAGTCCATTATCTCATTGCTCTTTATTATAGAAAGGTAAGAAATTAAACTGATATTGATGTTGGGACTTGAGAATACAGGAAAAAACTGGCAAAAAGCTAATTTGCAACATGTATTATTATGTCTGTCAATTTGTAAATTCTTTCCACAACCAAGCATGGAAAAAAAATGCTTTAGTAAAAATTGAGACATTTGTCAATAACAGATAAGGTAAGTAAATTTGTTGATGTCACTTAATCACTGGCACAGTGAAAAGTGACCCCTAACCTAGTGTTCTTTTTATGAGATACACTGTTTTTCTGGTGTAAAGAGAATTCATTTAAATCACAATTTTTACACGGCTGTGGGCAAATCTAGAAATGTGTCTGGTATTAATAGCTGTTTCTAAACCTTAAAAACATATGGAAAGTAGAACAATAGATAGCATGTGGTCAATAGATAAACAGCTACTAAAACTTAACACTGAAATTGAATCAAGCAGTATGCTACCTCTGCTATATAGAATTACAGGGCCAGATTTTCATAATGGAAACTCCCTCTAGACATGAGAGGCTATTTATACTTTCAGGTAAATAATTGCAAATATAGAAATTATTTTTTAAAATGAGAGGCTTAGATGAGAATATACTGAAAATGTTTCTTTTAGTCTTTAAAACAGTTTTACTTTTTATCAGTGTTAGCATCAGTCTACTTTATCCCATACCTTTTTAATAAGGAATAGGACTTTTTCCCTCTTTATCAGGGGTCAGCGAACTATTTCTGTAAAGGCAATATAGGTTCTGTCATAAGTACACAGTCTGCCTTTATAGAGTGAAAGCAAACAGAGGTAATATGTAAGGAATGGGCATGGCTGTGTTACAGTGAAACTTTATTTGCAAAAACAAGCAACCATCTGCAGGCTATAGTTTGCTGAGCCTACACATATATGCAGAGCTCAACCCTGGCTGGACATTACTATCACTTGGGGAGCCTGAAAGAACCATAGGCATGCCAGGTTCAGAGATTTTGATCTGGTTACTCTGAGGAGGGAACCAAGACATTGATGTGTCTTTAAAAATCCTCAGGCGATTCTAATGCACAGCTAGAGTTGAGAACTACTGACTTATGATCTTTAAAAAGCTCAAATGGATTAATGATCTTTTGAAGGGAAATGACAGTTTTGTAAACCATGCTAGACACAAGAGATACAAAGATAAGTAATACAGCGTTCTACCCTTAAAAAATTAGTCTAACAGGGTAATATATTACACTGTATGTTAACTAACCAGAATTTAAATAAAAACTTGAGAAAAAATAGTCTAATTACAGTTCATTAAGATGAACAGATTACAATAAAATGAAGGATTAATGACAGTAAAAAGTAAGAAGATGTGATGAACAAAAGGGGAGAGGAAAGGAACAGAAATGTAGTTGAAGAAAGAATGAATGGTCAGGAGAATGGGAGAATGAGTTGGATAGAAGAAAGTGTGAATGAGGATTACAAATAATACCAGGGTAGTTTAAATGTTATGAGTAGGATAAATGAGAAAAAGTATATATTGGGGGCCAGGGTTCATCAGTAAGGGAATAAGGGTTTGTGGTACCATCACTGCCTTCTAGGTATTGATGTTGAAAGACAAACTATTGGGGTAATTGATCTTGATTTATTTTTTCATATTTACATGTGTAGTTCCAAGTTACAGACACTAAGATACAATTTTTTTAAAGACCAAATAAATGGAAGCCTATAAAGGTGAAAATTCTCTTGTAAAACATAGCGCATATATATATATATTTTTTTTAAAGATTTTATTTATTTGACAGAGAGAGACACAGCGAGAGAGGGAACACAAGCAGGGGGAGTGGGAGAGGGAGAAGCAGGCTCCCCGCTGAGCAGGGAGCCCAATGCGGGGCTTGATCCCAGGACCCTGAGATCATGACCTGAGCCGAAGGCAGATGCTTAACGACTGAGCCACCCAGGCGCCCCAAACATAGGATATATTTGCTAGTAATGTATGGTTTTGTATATTGTCATTTGGCATATAATTCTGTCCTACCTTTTATCAAATAGTATTCAGCTAGCATCCCAAATAAACATTTTAAAATCTTGAGATTTTTCAGACTGTATTGTATAATACCCACTGAGGTAATAGCATCAAGTATTTGGGGTTTTGGTGGGAAGGGGTTATTTATTTCATTCAAAATCTTAGCATTTTGGAGCTGGAAGGGAACTTAAATATAATCAGGTAACTATGACTATGAAAGTACTTTGTAAAATGCAAACTATTTTGTAGGTGCAAGGTAGTGTCATGTAATACAAACTTTCCTCACTTATATATGAAAAGACTGAAACTCTTAAAGGTAAAGTAAATTTTCTAATCACATGGCTGCTAATAGGCAAGATGAGAAATCAAGTATCTTCATCCTGGTTTTTTTTTTTTTTTTGAGACAGAGAGAGAGCATGCTCGAATGTGGGGGGGTGGGGAGGGGCAGAGGGAGAGAGAGAATCCCAAGCAGGCTCCACACCCAGCACAGAGCCTGATGTATGGCTTGATCCCAGGACCCTGAGATCATGACCCAAGCCGAAATCAAGAGCTGGATGCCCAACTGACTGAACCACCCAGGTGCCCCCTCTTCATCCTGTTTTAATCTTTGTTTGCTAAACAGCAAATTCTTAGAAAATATTACCTACTGCATAAAAGGGGATAGAAAGCCCTCTAAATAAATAGAGAAATAGCCCATGTTCCTAGGTAGGAAATCAGTCTCAATTTCATAAGTATGTCAAGTACCCCCAAATTGATCTGCAGATTCAGTGCTATTCTGTAAGATTTTTTTTTTTTTCCGGAACTGACGAACTGACTAAAATTTATATGGAGGCACATAATTATAGAGACTAGTCAAGACAGTTCTGAAGAAAATAAGGGGCTGTAGAGAGAGTAAAGACTTCTCCTACAAATGTCATGAGTTATTATAAAAAATTTATGACCATGTAATATAGACAAACTGACCAGTAAATCACAATAGATCGAGAAATAGCCCTAAACACACAAAAATTTGATATGACAGGTGTGCTATACAGATCATCAAGGAAGGAAGAACTATTCAATAAATAGTATTGGAAAAAAAAATTACATACTTGAGAAAAAAAATGACATTATATCCCTATCTTATACCGTATAAAAAGTCAATTCCATATATAGCAAATGTAAAAGGCAAAACTTTTAGAAGAACTTATAAAGAAATATGCATTTGACCTTGGAATAAGGAAGGATTTCTTGGATAGGACACAGGAAATAGCATTTGTAAATGAATGATTAATAAACCCAACTTACATTGAAATATTTTTTTGGGTTTCAATTTATCTTTTTATTATAACATGAACTAAATTTAAGAAATTAGTCTTTTGACTTTATTTCCCAGAGTTGTTGGATCTAAATGACAATATAACTCATTATGAAAATATACTGAAAAATACAAGAGCTGATGTAAAATGGTTATCAAGGTTCCAGGTATCAAGGGATTAGAGAAAGTGAAGAATGAAACCAGTCAGGCTGCAGCCTGATAGACGCAGGATGCGCTGGTTTAGCAAGGTGCCATCAAGGAATAGGAAGATCATCAAATGTGTGGTGATAAGTCACAGCATGAGAAACATCTCCGTCAGGCAACTTCCTACCCTTTTTTGTTTGGTAAATTGAGTTTTTCTTCATTTAATAACTTAGGATTCTCTTAAACTAACATTTCAAAATTAAAATAATTCATCAGTGGGGCGCCTGGGTGGCTCAGTTGTTAAGCGGCTGCCTTCAGCTCAGGTCATGATCCCAGGGTCCTAGGATCGAGCGCCACGTCAGGCTCCCTGCTCAGCGGGAAGCCTGCTTCTCCTTCCCCCACTCTCCCTGCTTGTGTTCCCCCTCTCACTGTCTCTCTCTCTCTCTGTCAAATAAATAAATAAAATCTTAAAAAAAAATAATTCATCAAATGGGAGTCATTTTTATAGGTAAGGTAAATCACAGGATAATGTATTAGGAAAATTTTGTTCCTTTTTAAATCAGAAAGCCTTCAAGTGGTCAGGGATTGATGAAGTGGGGATGACAAATGTACATTTCAGATTTTCATCACCAATGAAAAAATAAAGCATTTTTATAGACTTAAAACTGTCAGTGCATTTAGATTTTGGTGAAGGAAAATTTAAAGTACCTCTACAATAATACAATGTTAATAAAAATTGGCCATGTACTGAGGTCATTTTAGTGAGCTACCATCATGTAAATATAAGAAAGGTAATTTCTTGATCCAAGTCAGTGAAATTGTAAAAAAGATTGTCTCTAGAGGACATTTTTTGAGAACAGTGCTTTTTCAGACACATTCTGATATTCAAATTCACTTTATAGCACAATTATAGATTAACCTTTTAATTACATTTTTTTAATTTTATTTATTTGTTTGTCAGAGAGAGAGAGAGCGCACAAGCAGGGGGAGCTGCAGGCAGAGGGAGAAGCAGACTCCCCACTGAACAGGGAGCCCAATGCGGGGCTCGATCCCAGGACCCTGGGATCATGACCTGAGCCAAAGGAAGATGCTTAACTGACTGAGCCACCCAGGCGTCCCTAATTACATTTTTCTTAAAAAGCTGTGAGATTTCTGTTTCTTTGGGAGATATTTTCACCACTGCATTGTTCAGTTCCACAGGTTAAGCTTTCTTCATTATTATTAAGAACTTCATACATGTTAGAGATATTGCTGTTCATTGCTTTCTCGTCTTTTCAAAAAGACACAGGGAGACTTGCTAGACTAAAGCTGACGTCTTTAAAGGCATGCAACAAGAATATTCCCACAATGATCGTAAAGAAGTCACTCAAAGTACCAATGACATCATCAATAGGCTTATCTTGCCACTCCTTAAAAAGAAGAGCTGAACAAGTTAAAACTGATGTTGTAAAGAATAGGTAATATATTGGAGTCATAATGGAAGTGTTGAATATATCCAGGGCCCTGTTCAGGCAATTAATCTGTGTGCTCACACAGACTGTAAGGCTCAGCAGCAGGATCCAGGCCAGGGAATGTTGCAACACAGGCTTTCCAGCAAACAGCTCTTTGATAGCAGTGCCCAGGCCCTTAACACAGGAGACTGAAAACGCTCCGATTACAGAGCAGATTGTTATGTACACAAGAATGTTTGTCTGTCCATGGCGGGGTCCAACCACGAAGATTAATATCAATGACATAATAACCACAAGTGTTGCAAAGACCACAAAACCTGGATCTCCCTGCTTGTGAGACATTTCAAGTCTCGATCTCCTCTTCTTTTGGAGCGTGAATGACCATAACTGTAGATCCTAGAATACTTACCAAACATCCAATTTTCCCATGAAGATTAAGTGTTTCATTTAGAAAGTATGAAGAAGGAATAGCACTTACTAGGACGCTGAGAGGCCCTATCAGAGTCACTAGGGTGGCTGGTGCACCTGCTCCCATTGATAGCAATCCAGCCCACGACAACCATTCTTTAAAATACGCATGACCACCTTGACCTGCTCTCATGGAGCCTTTCCTGGCAAGTCACAGAAGACTTGTTTTTTTTTTTTTTTTCCAAAATGAAACCCCCGCCAATGAAAATGCTGGAGCTCATAGCCAATCCCAAACCAATGTAAAAGTCCTATTTTCCATGCTCCTGGATCATTTCGTTTGTTACTAAAGTTCTTGTGAGTCACAACAGAGAAACCACTGGTGCTGGAGGCAGGATTATGCAATCTTCAAATATGTAAGTTTAATATGATCTCTTTTATGAAAAAAAGGCTGGAAGCAGTTAGAGATGACTTATTCATTATCATTTCCTTATAAATAATACTGTTTATTCTCATCTTAAGTTTTAAACCCTGGCAGAGTAGCTCCAGCTCCACTTGGAGGCCAGCCATGCGGCTTCCCCATGCAGCATCCCCCCCCACTATCTGGCCCTGGCCCTGGTCACCTCTGCTCACAGGCCCACGCAGACCTCATGGGCGGCCGCCCCTTGAGCTGGGGTGGGGACAGGGGAGGGTAGCACCTTCATCTCAGTACAGAAGGAGATGAGAGCATCTGGGGCTGCCAATTCCTCCATGGGGGAGTGTAGAGGGGAACCTGCCCCCCACGACCTGCGACCCCCCACTACCCCTACATTGAAATTAACTTTTTTTCATCAAAACACACCATAAAAAGAACAAAAAGCAATGCACACATGGGTGAATGTATTTGCAATAATATAATCAACAAAGTATTAGTGTCCAATATATATAAAGAATTCCTTCGAATAAATAAGAAAAAACGGGCGCCTGGGTGGCTCAGTGGTTAAGCCATTAAACGTCTTGGGGAGCCTAGGGTTGGAACCCAGTGTCTGCCTCCCTGCTCAGCAGGGAGTCTGCTTCTCCCTCTGCCTCTCCCCTGCTTGTGTTCTCTCTCTCTCTCAAATAAATAAATAAAATCTTAAAAAAAAAGATAAAAATTCAATAGAAAAGTGGGCAAAAGACACAAGCAGGTATTTCACAAAAGAGGGTGCATGAGGGGCTCGTGGGTGGTGCAATTGGTTAAACGTCCAACTCTTGATTTTGGCTCAGGTTGGGATCTCAGGGTCATGAGATCAAGTCCTGCTTCCAGCTCCATGCTCAGTGCGGGGTCGACTTATAAGACTCTCTCTCCCTCCCCCTTTGCCCCTCTTCCCCACTCTCTCTCTCTCTAAAATAAAAATAAATCTTTAAAAATAAAAAAAAATTAAAGATGATGCATGGATGTATCATAAATATATGAAATGTCATTCAACATAATTAGTAATAAGAGAAGTACAAATGAAGACCACAACAAATTGTCATTTTGTGTCACTAAATTGACAAAAAATAAATTTGATAGTAGCAAAATTTGGAGAGGATGCTGATCAATGGGAATTCCTACACATTGCTGGTAGAACTATAAATAGGTTAATTACTTGAAAATAGTTTAGAATTAGCCTGTAGAGTGGAACTTTTGTACATTGTACAATCCAGGGTTTCCCTCCTGGGTATAATACCCTAGAAAAATTTTGCCTGGGTGCACAGGGAGATATGTACAAAAAATTCATAGTGACCCTGTTTGTAATAGCAAAAACAGGAAATAATACAGATGTCCATCAACACGATAATGGGTAAACGAAATTGTAATATATCAACACCCTGGAACATTATTCAGCAGTGGGAATAAGAAAAAAAAAAGCACTACATGCAGCTACATGGGTGAATTTTAGGACCATAATGTTGAGTGAAAAGGGTAGCCCTAGAACACTGAATATGGTATGAGTTCATCCATATAAAGTTAAACAAAACAAATAGTATTTTGTTTGGGCAAAAACATATAAATGACAAAAACTTTTTTTTTAAAATTAAGAAAAATGATAAAACACAAAATCTAAGAAATGGCTAACCTTTGGTCAAGAGATAAGTAGATATGATAATGTAGGAATAAGTAGAAGAAAGCTATTGATAATGGTCTAGTTCTTAGGGTTAGTGGTGGGCTCAAAAGAGTTCAGTCTAATATTTTGCTGTGTAATTTGTGCACATAGTATATTCTTTTATCTGTATTAAATGTCATATTAAAGTAATATATTTGTTTTTCAGAAATCTGCCTGAACCTTCGAGATCCTCCAACTAACATAATTATCATTCCAGAAAAGCAGGTGAAACCTGAATGGAGATTGCCAAAATTAAATCACCGCTTTATCACAAGGTAGAATACTCATGTAAAATACCTTAAATATTAATTTTTAACTTTAGCCACTGAAACAGTATATTATTATTGCTCAAAATCTACCCCAAATTATGGAGTATCAACTATATAGATATATATTTTCACAATCATAATTGTAGAATGCTTTTTCACTGTTTAAAGATACAATATTTAACAATTTTGCTTTTTTTAGGTCAGAACTGGATGATATGCCAGAAAATCACATCTGTGATGTTATTGGCATTTTAGTTTTTGTAGGAAGGGTCCAGCGGTCAAAAAAAAAAGGTAAGCTTTTAAAATTGAAAGCCATAAAAAATATTTTGGTGAATAGTTCTGTGCTCATATATGCATAATTGTTTACCTTCATTTATTCTAATATCCTATCCATATAGAAAACCGTGAAGATTTTTGGTCATATCGTTGGATTCACATCGCTGACGGGACTTCAGAACAGCCATTTATAGTGGAGTTGTTTTCTACATCTCAGCCAGAAATATTTGAGAATATTTACCCAAGTACTCAATCCAGTATTTGCATCTTTTTATTTTTGGAAATGGGGGCATTAACTTAAAATGTTAAAGTGTGTACTGATTTACAGGGTGGCACGATACTGAGTTAGCAAATTCAAGCAGTGTGATAGCATGTTTAAATTTTTTCTGTATTAATATTATATTTGGTATTACAGATATTAACCACCTTCTGGTTGTCTAGTCAGAATTAATTTGGGATTGAAACCAGTTTTTCAGAAAACAGGTGCTCTTATCAATTCTCATTATTAGCATTTCAGGCATAAAAGCTTAACATTCAGTGAAACTAAAACATAGGCAATCAGTTCCCTTTGTATCCATTTTGAAATTGACTAAGTAGACCACAAAAAAGACAATGAAGACTTTACTAATATCGAATTAACTGGTAGAGGCTTGACAGACTGTGTAATTAAATAATGACAGTGGTAAGTATGATTTCATTTGAGTATTAAATTAATATTACATTGGCAATGTTATACCAGCTGGTCAATATTTTAGTTACTTTGGTGTTGACATTTCCCCCTTGCATTTATTCAGATACAGAGGTATTTTTCCCACTAACTTTATTCATTTGAAAACATTTTAGGTATGCTTCAGATCTATTATGATAAGAAAAAAGTATATTTAATACTTTTTAACAACTTCAGTGAATTTTTCCTTATACCAGCTTGTACTACTACAAAGCTATTATAGCTACAGTGTGTTATTTCACTGTTTTTTCAAGTGATTATATGAATAAAATACTGATTGTTAAATGTTTGCCAACACTGGGAAAACTCCCAGTCTTGACCATACGTAATTTTTAAAATCAACAAGGTAAAAATTGTAGAGCATCAGGATACTTAGAGACCATATAAAGAGTTGTTCTGCTACGCCTTTATTGGTTATTACAAAATAGCATTCCACACCATTCAGATATTATCTTATTAGTTTCTACCATCTGCTTGTGAGATTAAAATTTTAAAATATATCTGGATGGAGCTAAACCTCATGCTAGCTATTGAGGGAGAGGGCAGAAAGAATTTTAGCCAAAACCAAGGCATGGGCTTCCAAGGTGAGTGGAGCTATGATTTCTCATGTAACTTCTCTCAGGGCATAAATGATTGATAGTGATGACTTCTCATGACGATTCCATTACCTCATTTTAGGTGGGTTTTATGGCCAGGGCCCTCTCTCTTTGTAGCCACTTGAAATGACAAGTTGACACAAGTTTTAGATAATGATTTTTTCACAGAAATGTTGCCAAGTATACATGTTCTATTTCTTCGGATAATGGAAAATACATCTTTCTAAGAAAGCCTTATACAGACCTTGGTGAGATTTACTCTAGTACAGTAGTTGACAACATTTGCAATTTATGTTCATATTTTGACCAAGATGAAAAAAATTATCAAATGATTGGTGAGTACCGAGGGGGCTTCAGGCCCATGAAGGGGAACATGACCAAGTATCTTCTAGAATAATACCAGAATCCTTTGGTAGTAGGGAATCTTTTTTACTTTTGATTAAGGAGAGTGAAAAACTAAGGAGAATTAATATTGAGTGTTTGCTATGTACCAGAAGCTCGTACATGTTATCTCATTTTGTACTCCTAGTTACCTTCTTCAAAGTTGATGTTTTTACAGATTTACAGGTGAGGAAACAAAGGTCCAGAGGAGTTAAGTAGTTTCTTGGATGTCAAACAGCTAGAAGGTGTCAGGTCGGAATGTCTGATTTTTAACAGTCATGAAATGAGAATTAGAAGTTTCTGTGATATTCCTATATCAAGATCTTTAACCATGAATAGTGACATATTTGTAGTTTTGTAAATAAAGGAAGAGTGATGTTAGTTGAGAGTTACTCTTAGTCATTTCAACAGATTTATTTTTGTTGCTATAAGATAAAGAATTAGGAAATGTTAGATACAGTGAATGGATTTATCGTTATTATCATACTCTAGGGAAGTATTATCTCAAATGAGAACTTACCATTATTGTGAGATACAAGTATTTACATTTATTTCTTCATTTCCTAGTTCATAAGACCATAACCATTTTGGGCATGTGATAAGTTAAAATTTAAAAAAATGTTGTTGGCTTAATGAAACTTTACCTAACTAATTGATAGACAGTTGAAAACAATTCAGCAAGGTGAATAGTAAAGAATGGGTTGTATAAGCCCTGTCGTGGAGACTTAAAGTCTAATTAAGATAAACACATGCATAAGGAAATTCAAGTTAACAGTGTATACCCCTATCTGGTGGAAGGAGTCAGAGTAATTCAGGGATCAGTGTTAGATTGGGTTAATCAGTAAAAGCATCCTGGAGAAACTAAGCGTTTTTTCTCTGTAGGAAATAACTGTTCACACTCAGTTGTATGCCTGATTAGAGAGACTTGCCATCTTTAACTGTGCAAGCAGTAACTTCAGTTAGGTGCAGCCACTGTACTTTCTAAAGGAAAAGTAAGTGTTAGATCCTTTATCTAAAGAAAAAGGTAAGTGTTAGATCCTTGTTGCTCCCAGTGTGGTCAAAGGGCTGGCAACGCTAGTATCACTGAGAGCTTATCAAGAAGTGGAGAATCTCAGGCCCCACTCTAAAACTACTGAATCTGAATTCGCATTTTAACAGTTGTCCCAGGTGATTCCTATGTTCATTAAAGTTTGAGAAGCACTGTGTTAGATACTGATCTTGGTATGTCCTCTTTGAAAGGCCGAAGTTTCTTCATAACTGTTTTCATTTTCTACAGTGACCTATTTCGTGTGTACACAGTTGAAAGTTGTCAGGAATGACACTCAAGTACCTAAACTGCTTTACCTAACCACTACAAATGAGAGTCGAGTGTTTATTACTGGTGAGCAATATCTTGGTTTATACTTTACTGGAGATGTAATATATTTTCTATTAATTAAATTAATTTTTACATCACAACATTCAACCACAAGATAGCTTTGTTTTGACCTCCTTTATTGCTGTAAGGATGTTTTGGCAAAGAATATTTAGCCTATGAAATGTATTGCTTCTAGATTAATGATGACTGAAGCAATGATTTTGTGACTCACTGGAGAATTGCATTTATGTCCTTGGGTTAACTTTAATTCCTGCTTGATGTAAGGTAGATAATCATAAATTGCTTTGATAGATTGAAGACTGTTAGGCCCTATATCACAATATGGATACAATAAACAATATTTTTAAATACTAACTAAAAATGTTCATCAAACTTTGGTCCCTGATCTCAGGTTTTACTTATATAACAAGAAGAGTCTTATTAGTTGTCTACAAGCACATCTTTTTTCTCCGTTCTTTCTGATAACGGGGTCAAAACAATAAAGTTTAAAGTTTCCAGATGAGTGAAGAAATAGTGTGGAGTGGTGTGCTTACTCACACACTACCATGTTGATAATTAAAAAATTTGTCAGTAGAAGAGTCCTAGGAAGGATGTAATACACATCTTTGTCAATACCTCATTTTATAAATACTAACAATAATCACATGTAAATGATACTGTTAAATATGTTTTAAGAACATGAATTTAAATGCTGAGCTATATCATAGGCAATTCAGTTCAAACATGATGCCATACCTTTAGGTTAATACATGATTTAAAAATCAGTTTTTTAAGAAGATGCCAACCATTTTGATAGTTAGAAAAATCCAGATTATTAGTTTTCTTTTCATTATGACTTTATCCTGTAGGCAGCTATGGTTTAGTCCACTTAAATTCTAATATGTCTGATTTCCTTCTCAACATAGGATTGGTTTACTGTCTTTGATAATTTTTGTATACATATTAAGTGTAATCTGCTACACAGTGAATAAATGAACTTCTTTTCTTGGTGACACAAGAGATTATTTTGATATACTGTTTTTATACCAAAAAAGTCCATACAATTCATTACAGTGAGTTTTTTTTCTCATTTTTTGGTTTTACCTTTCTTGCAAAAAGGTCATAGAGGCCAGCCATATACCAACGACACCAAGGTAAAAAACTTTATTCATTGGATTAAAACAAGGACCGATTCTGAGGAAGTGAAGAATACTGTTATTGGTGGATATTACCCCTATCCACCAGTGCCAGAGACATTTTCAAAGTATAGTAGTTCTGTCAAAGGTACTAATGTAATTATTCGTCATGTATGATATGTTTCTATGCCATACGTGTGACAGATATCATGAGCTAATATGTAGCAACACTCACTGATAAAAATTTTGTCTCTATGAAGATCTAAAAATACATGTCATGCCTCCTAAAGGTTAATATTTGGATTTTATTAGACTAGGAGAAGGGAGAACATAGATGATGACTAACTGGACATCATATCTTGATTCAATGTTATTGAGATCAAATCTGACTTTAGTAGATCCAACTCCTATGACATTACATACAGAGACTAAAGATATCAAGGAGACACTGGATAATTTGATAACAAAATACTGACACTGTATTATGCTACTCTTGTGGAATGATATATATTGGATATTACACAGTTGAGCGCTACCTTTAAATAAAAATGACACCAAAATAAATGAGGTGCAGAATAAGTACTGATGAGAGGCCTAACATTAATTTACTTTAGTAGAATTAAGATATGATGGTTGAAGAGTTTAATATAAGTATATTCTTTTTTTAAAAGCTGTGGGATAATTGCATGGTTTGGGGAAAAAAAGAGAAACCTTGAAATACTGACCTACCATCATCTAAATATTGGCATCCTCTTGTACTTCATAATGCCAGCAATATGTAGTATATGGTTGTATATATTAAAATGTATATTTCTGTGCAGTGGCTAGGCAACACTTTATACTTTGAAATATGATGTGTAAATTACAGTTGACCCTTGAACAACACAGGTTTGAACTTTACAGATCCACTTATATGTGATTTGTTTCAATAAATACACATACAGTACTGTAAATGTTTTTTTCTTAGGATTTTCTTAATGTTTTCTTTTCCCTAGATTACTTTATTGTAAGAATACAGTATATAATATTTATAGAAAATATGTGTTAATCAACTGTTTATGTTGTCGATAAGGCTTCTGGTCAACAGTAGGCTCTTAGTAAAGTTTTGGGGGAGTCAAAATTTATACATGGATTTTTGACTGCAAGGGGTTTGGTGCCCCTAACCCCCCTGTTGTTCAGTGGTCAACTATACATTCAATATGCAAAATTTCTGTTTCAAATTAAGACTCCAGACTAGAGGACTGTATCTCAATTTAACTGATAACTATATTTTGCCTATTTTACAAAAATTGCATAAGGGGATGATGTCAAGCATCAACATAAATTTCACAAATTTAAGTTATGTAGCAAGTTTATGATTTCATGTTGTGAAATGACATTGCAAATCTAATTCTTATTTTTATCATTTCAGTTCTTTAAAACTTACAATTTCCCCGGAATTATTCTTTTGCAGTTGAGTCGCTCTTGACAGCTATAAGTGAAGTGAGGAAGGAGATTGAAGACTTGCAGTATAGGGAACAAAAGCGCATTGCAATTCAGGGGATAATTACTGTTATAAAGTATATCCCCCATGCCAGTGCAACTGAAAGTGCCTCAGCATCAGAAACACTTCGGGTATGGTGCCAGAGAATTAATAGTATATCTCTGAATGCACTGCGATCATGATTACAATTGGTACCTTGTACATTTTATTCAGAACTCACATGTATTGACGCTTAATGATGTAAACCTCAGAGGGAAAAAAAATCATTTATGTGTTTCGTTTGTTTCCTTTTTCTCTCATTTATTTTGGAGCAGGCTGGGCTGAAGTTCACAGCCTCTGATATTTCCCAAGGCCTTCAACACTCGGTATCTTATTTTTGCTTTCTGCATAATTTGAGCCTATTATGATTCTTTTTACTTAAATTCCCAGGTGGTATGTATGATTATATTCTTTCCATTCCTTTTGTCCAGGCCAGAACTATAGGAACACTTTCACAGGAAATTTTTATCTTCGTATCTGGCATGGCAGTCTCACCCAGATTTTTTAAGACATAGCAATGACTCTTGTAGGATAAAGGCTCTAGTAGAAAAGGCCATTACTGGAATCTAGGCACAATCAAGACAAAGGAGTTAATTTTTTCTGTGAATTTGTCTTTTAAAAACTTATTTCTAGGATTTCTGTTCATATGGAGATAGCATCTAATCCAACTTTTCAGTTATATTAGTATAAGAAGGACTTTTATTTACCTTCCTTTAAAAAATATTTTAATACCAGATGCATTAGGATAAATATAATCCTATCTATAAATCAGCTTTATGAAAGCACTTTTATGATTGCAAAAATGTTGTCATAACTCTTAAGATTATAAAAAATGGATAAACTAAAATTATAGTCTTTTAAGAAAAATAATTTTTGTGAATGTTTAAAATGTTTTCTCTAAATTTTTGGTTTTAGAATGCTAACCGACCCTCAACATCCCAAGCAGCTAGGAGAGAAAATCAAAGTCAGGAAAGAGATAATAATAAACGGCATCAAGATGATGATCCTGTGAGCTCTCAGTGTTTTCAAACTGCATATACAAGCTTGAGCCCTACCAAGAAAAAAAGAATTCTGCAAGGGCCATATGCCAAACTGTAAGTCATTTGTATTAAGTATACACGTAGCATATTATTTTTTTTTTTATTTCTACCGTGTAAAATGACCAATTCCACTAGAAGTGGTATTAGTTTTCTAGGGCTGCTAAAATCCAAGATCAAAGCATTGGCAGAGTGAGTTCCTTCTGAGGACTGCAAGGCAGAATCTCTTCTATACCTCTCCCCTAGCTTCTGGTGGTTTATGGCAATCTTTGGCATTCCTTGTCTTCTAGAAGCATCACTTCAATCTCTGTCTTCATTTTCACATGGCATTTTCCCTGTGTGCATACCTGTGTTCAAATTTTCCCTTCTTATAAAGACACCAGCCATATTAGATTAGGGACCTATTCTGGAGTACTGTTCTACTCCAGTAAGACCTCATCTTAATCAATTATATCTTCAGTGACCCTATTTCCAAAAAAGGTCTCATTCTGAGGGTTATTGAAGATGTAATTGGTTATGTATTGGTAGTCATATTGATACTTAGTAGGGACATGGTTCAGCCCATAACAGTCTGCCCTCTGACCCCTAAAAATTCATGTCCTTCTCACATGCAAAATATGTTCAACCCATCAGAACATCCCAGAAATCTTAACCCTTACTAACATCAACTCTAAGTCCAAACTCTCATCTGAACATCATCTAAATCATGTACTGTTGAAATGCAGGGTGATTTCATCCTGGGGCAAAATTCTTTACATCTGTGAACCTGTGAAACTAGACATGTTATCTGTCCAAAACACAATGATAAGACAGGCAGAGGATAAGCATTCCTATTTCAAAAGGGATAAATTGGAAAGAAAGGGGGTCATGCATCACAAGCAAGTTCAAAACCTAGCAGGACCAATTCCAATTGATTTCAAGCCTCCAGAATTATCCTCTCTGGCAGGATACTGTATCTTCTGGGCCCACCAGGATGGTAGCCCCACTTCCTTGGCCCTGAGTGCTGCCCCTGCCCTCTGGAACTGAGGGATCATTGTCCCTTTTCTTGAAAGATAACACATGATCACTGCTGATTATCTCTTAGCAACTCATTTCCTGACTGTAGAATCCCAGAAATCGGATTTCATCCTACCTATGTCCCTTTCAGTCCAAGCTAGCAGCATGCCTACTGAGATGGTTGATGGGATCCACAAATCACAAGCCTTGGGCAAATGGTTGTCCAACAACACTGTTGGTGTTCCTTCCAGAGCAAGCTTTCTCATTTTTGCAGTATAGATAGGCTGAGAATTTTCCAAGTATCAAAATTTTGGTTCCTTTTTTCTTAACAATTTCTCAACTTCTCTCTCCCCTCTTGTATTTTACTATAAGCAACAAGGAGAAACCAGGCTTCACCTTCAACACTTTGCTTAAAAATCTCTTCAGCTAAATATGCAAGTTCACTGCATACAAGTTCCACCTGCCATCCAACAGAACACAATTCAGCAAAGACCTTTGCCACTTTATAACAAGGATCGCTTTTCATCCAGTTTCCAATAACCCATTCCTCATTTCTGTCTGAGACTTAACCGGAAGCACCTCTTACATTCATATTTCTAGCAACATTCTGTTCATAACAACATATATACTCTCAAAAAAACATACATATTCTCTAAGACAAAAAGCTTTCTCTCAGAACTCTTTCAGCCTCTATGTAATACTCAATTCCAAAGCCACTTCCACCTTTTAAATTATTTGTTACAGTAGCACTCCACTTCCTGGTACCCAAATCTGCATTCATTTTTTAGGGCTGCTATAATGAAGTACTAAAAACTGTATGACTTAAACAATGGAAACTTAAGACCTCACAGTTCTGTAAGCTAGAAGTCCAAGATCAAAGTTTCAGCAGGGTCAGTTTGTTTTGAGCACTGTGTGAAAGAATCTGCCCCTTGTCTCTCCCCTAGCATCTGGTGGTTTTCTGGCAATCTTTGACGTTCTGTGGCTTGTAGAAACCTCACCCCCAATCTGTGTCTATGTCCAAATTCCCCCTTTTTATAAGGACATCAGATACATTGGATTAGGGGCCCACCCACCCCAGTATGAACTTATTTTAACTAATTTATCTCTTCAGTGAAACTATCTCCAAATAAGATTACATTCTGAGATACTGGGGGTTGGGACTTCAACATGAATTTTGGGGGACATAATATAACCCATAACAGAACCCTCTTATCTGCCACGCTTGGCATGGACTACTTGACAATGAGTTTAAAATGAGGAACTACAAAAAAAAATACATTTTATTTAAATTTAAAATACTATAGCTTATATTTGTTGACCAGTTATTTAAGCATGAATCTTTCCTATATAAACTTTATCCATTATGAATTGTATATAATTAACATTTTTGGTTTTTCTGAAGCAGAAAGATAACCGAGACACTAATAAAGCAGTTGACGTATAGAATCATTTTAGATTTTAAGATTTTTTAAAACTCTAGTCTTTAATGGTAGTTGTGCCCAATCAGGGAACTGTTTTTGGTTGTATCCTGAGCTTATATTCAGCAACCTTGATAAATTCACTTATTCTGAGTTTGTAGGGTTTTTTTTTTTTAATTTTCTCTGTATAAGTCGTGTAATCTGCAAATACTTGTGGTTTATTTCTTCCTTTCCAATCATTTTGCTTTTATTTCTTTTTCTAGCATTATTGTACTGGTTAGGACCTCTACTACAGTGTTGAATACAACTGGTGGTAGAAACCACCTATGTCTCATTTCTTTTTTCTTTTTTTAGTGGTCTAAGGATATTTATTTTATTTTTTCACAGCTTTATTGAGATATAATTGACATATATTACTTTTTTTTTTT